TCAAAGTAAAAAAAAAAAAAAAAGAATTCAGTGAACTCCAAAGTCTTATAAGTGTTGAGAGTCATTTTATTAAGAAATACAAAGACTCAGAAATTCAGAAAGCTGACCCTGCTGTGGGTTCTCAGAGATGGTGGACTCTGCAAGGAGGTGGGGGTGGGGGAGATTGCCTGTCTCTCTCCTGCGAAGATATCAGTGTGTGGGTTGGCAGCAAGGCTCCTTATCACTGGTCCATCAGAGCTTCCCAAAGGCTAATAACAATAAAAATTTTTAAAAGAGCCAATAACACAGGAGATCACATGATGAAATAAATACCAAAATTCACAGAGAGTTTCTAACTTGCCAAGTGTCAGAAAATTAGAAGTTTGCTGACCCAGTGAATTCATGGAGTGCACAAAGATGCAAAGACTCTTTGTGCCAAGGAATAACAAGGGAAGTCAACAACACACCAGTCTTCTGAGCAGGACTGTTCCTGGTCTACCCTTATCACAGATGCCATAACACACCAAACTAGAATGTTTACATATTTCATCAGAGCAAGATTCAGCATGTATCCCACCTGACCAGCATTAGACATCACCATCACCAACCAGCCCACCACAAGCAACAGCACTGTACAGACAGCAAGCAGATAATTGTACAGAAACCCCATCAGGTATCACATAAACACCAGAAGAAAGTGGATTAAAAAACAACCTATAATCGCAATGTCACTATAATATCCTGGAAGGTGCAGACAGCATCAAATCCTACAGAAAAGCAAAACAAGGCATTGAAGAAAAAAAAAAAAACAACACAACACAACAAAACCAAGCCCCCAAAAAAATCCAAATAGAGTCAGTAGATCTCCTGGAGCAAGAAAGGCTGATGGAATTCTCTGGCAGGGAATTCAGAAAAACAATGATCAAGTGTTTTGGGAAAATATGAGGAACTGAATCCATATAAGACAAAGTCTATAGATAAAACCAATGAAATGTTAGAAACCGTAGGAGAACAATAAAGTGCAACCCATAGTATTAAGAGCAACAGTTCAGAAGCTATCAACATGTTGGAGGGACAAAGAGCAGAACTGAACAGATAGCACAACAATAATGAAACAGACAATCAAGCCCTCAGTACTAACTTGAAGAAGAAAAAAAAATAAAAACAAGAAAGAAGGAAAATGAAGAAAACATAAGAATTATACAGAATAACATTGAAAGGAAGAACATTTGAGTAGTTGAATTCCAGAATAGGAAAAACAAGAAAGACACCAAGAAAATTATGTAAGGGTTACTAGAAGAAAACTGTCCAGCCATCATGAAAAATGAGCAAACTCCAAATATGATAGACCTCAAAAGGAAAACACCAAATTCTCAAGGAGAGAATTCTGAAAGAAGCTTGAGAGAAACACAGAGCTACCTGCAAAGGAGAATCAATAAGATTCAGTTCAGATTTCTCAGCAGAAACAATGTGAGCAAGAAGATAATGAGATTGCATATTCAAAACTTGGAAAGAAAATGAACTTCCAACCAATAATCCTGTACTCAGCAAAACTGTAAAAATTCAAGTAAAACAGAGTAATTAAAGCAGTCTCATAAAAACATAAAGGAATTTGGGAAAAT